ATTACCAGTGGCTTTTACCGGTTAGTCCAAGGCATCTCCCGGCGAGAGAGAGAGAGGATTGCGATGGGGCTCCCGCGGGCAGGGAATGAACAGAAATTACGGTGATAGGCGGCAAGAGGGACGATGTCCACGGGAACTGACAAGGACAGGATCATTGATTTTAGAACTTCACGGAATGGGACGGCAGAGGGAAACGTGTGATGGGATGAGATGAGACAGGAGTTGAGCTTAGGGGATTTGGGGAAGGTGTAAGTGTTTGTGGGGAGAGGGGTCGGAACATCTTGAACAATAATGTTACACATGCGTGCATGCCCATGCACACCCCCGTGTACATTACCGCACGTGTACGTGGCAGTGATACAATTAATTAAACTAGGTGATGCGGTTTTATGATTCGATTCAAGGGATGATCCCTCTTGTTTGTACACATTTGTATAATTTCTCAGTTTTTTTGTCTCGTCGGGACAATGTTTTTCCCCACCGTGATAATTAATCGTGAGAGACATTTTTGACGATTTCCATTTCATAAAATGGCATTGATCGTGGAAATGGAAAAAAAAAAGAATTACCCTAGATTTTGGTTGCAATCAAACGATTATTAACAGATAAAAATTATATTCTGACCACTGGCCCTTCAGTGCACCGTCCCCTTGACACCCAGCCTCCCCCGTTTTGGGAGGAGAGCATGGCCTTTAGTTTGCGCCGTTTGTATCTGCACCCTCGCCAACGGTACTTCCTCTGGCCTTCCTCGCAGCAGCAGCAGCAGCAGCGTCGGCTTTTGGCTGGCCATCGAACAAAGTCGGTCGCCGCATTGCGCGGCGCTTTCAGATGCGCTTCTGCGGACGTCTGGAACGCTCTTGCTGCCGATATCGGGAAGCCACACGTGCAATCCGCCGATATAGATTGAAAACTAATTTTTTCATTTGTTGTCCTTCCTCCGCACCTCCGCTGAGCACGGTTGACTACGTACGGTGCGAAAGAAGTTCAACATACACGCGCACATTATCGTCCTGTATTTGGAGCATGGTTTGTTTCGTCTCGTCTGTATTTTATTGATATTTCGTGTATTGTGCAGCATCCCCTTTGGTACCATATATCTGCATTCCCATCTGTACTGTTTTTGTCTTTTGCACTGCTTTTCGTTTGCTGCCTCCCAAGGGATGGGATGGGACGAATCATTTGTGCGCGACACGAAGGGACAGGAATGGCCAAAATTTGTTCAGGAAATGGGTGAACAAATCGTGTGGGATTGGGACGATACGGAATTCAAATGTTGTCCCCTCGTCACTTTTACAAGCCAGATTTACCCACGCATGGACAAATTCAACCCCTGCACAAATTCCCTCATTATTTTATGACCCGACCCAATTTGAGGTCACAATTCAAAAACTCGCTTTGGTTATCACATTTTTTCATCGTATTTTTTTTTGTCTCATTTGTACTTTCGCGTGAATATTCCTTCCTTTTTGATTTAAAGTTTTCGTGACTGCAGGGATTCATATTCTTGGTTCTTTCGGTAAAGTCACCACGTAGAAGGGAAACAATACAATTATAAAAATATAAAACAATAAAATTATCACGTTTCGACTGCAACACAAGCAATCATCATCAGGTGTGAAAACCACAGCAAGAAAATAACCGCCACTTTTTTAAAATTTTCTTGCTGTGGTTTTCACACCTGATGACTGATTGCTTGTGTTGCAGTCGAAACGTCGTGAGAATTTTATTTTGTTTTATATTTTTATTATTTTGTTTCCCTTATACGTGACTTTACCGAAAGAACCAAGAATATGAATTCCTTCCTTTGTTCGGTTATATTTATTATATATTTGTTCAATTCCTAACATTGGCATATGAATCAATTTGAATCGATGGTTGGAAAACAATCTTACTTTACACTTTCGGATGACAATCTATAACTGCAGCTACATTTGTAGTTTGCTATGTGTTTTGCTATCCTGGTCATTCCATGATTTTAAATCTCTAAGTTAACAAGTCACCTCACTCACTATTAAGCCACCTTAAGACCCGTAATCACACGCGCGCCACTTTGAAATGGAGGATGCTGCAACGTTTATCTCACCAACGTGGCAATAAATAGTTTCTCAATTTGATTTAGTTTTCCGTTTGTGCAAACATTGCTCCCCCAGCCCTTACACGGCTGTGATTGTGACCACTGTGCTGCTCATTTCCGTCAATGTCACGCTCCAACCGCACGGCGCTAACCCTCGAAATTTTTGGACTTCAAATTAAAAAAAAAAATTGTCATGCAAACATCGTCTCTTTCATTATTTTAACATAATTATCCGAAGCCTACATACGTCGTAACAAGTGCAGGGCAGTTACTAAAATAAACTATGCATTGGGAATAAGGTGGAAAAATGTGCGTTCCATCGTTGGGCACGTCAAAAGTTAGGAGTACGTGGGGCCTCCAGATTCCAGTAGGATTTGAACTTCTGGAAGCGTCGTCTCAATCGGGTTTCCCTTGATCTCCAAGTGCAGCTGTGGCAGACGGCGGACAAGGCCCGCTGGCACGTCCTTCAACTGATTGCCGGAAAGCAGCAGCATCCGCAGCCTGGAGCAGTTGGAAAGTTCCGCCGGAAGCTCCTTTAGCCGGTTATTGGTCAGCGACAGGTGCTGCAAATTCTGCAGCGTTCCCACCTCCAGCGGAATCGACTCGATCTGGTTGTGATTCAGTTCCAGGTGCCGGAGCTTGACGCAGTTTAAGACCGCGTTTGGAAACGCCTCCAATTTGTTGTTGGACAGATTTAAACGCTCGAGATTTTTCACGTATGCGATAGACGCCGGTATGACCGCTATTTTGTTGTGCCAAAGCTTGATGGAGGTGAGCCTCTTGAGATGCTGGAAGCTCACAATCTCCTCAATAGTCTGGATGCTGTTCCCCTTCAGGTCAATCTCCTGCAGACTCATCAAACTGAAGACCGCGTGCGGGATGCGCTCCAGCTCGCAGTACTGCAGCTCCAGCTCGGTGAGGTTCACCAGCTTTTTCAGGTTGTTGAGGACGAGGAGGTGCGTGCCGTCGTTGTGGATGTAGAGCTTCTGCAGGTGCGTGGCGATGTCCGCGAGGTTGGACGGGATCTTGGCCAGGTTGCTCTTCAGCTGCAGCAGCTTGAGGTGGCGCAGCTCCCTGAGCGACTCCAGCGCGATGACCTTGTTGTTCTCCGAGTTGAGGTTGCCGATGAGGTAGAGGTCCCGTAGGTTGCGCAGGGTGTAAATCCAGGCCGGGATCTCGTCCACGTCGGTGAACTTGAGGTGCAGCACGCGCAGGCGGTCGCGCAGGAAGGACAGCGCCGACGCGTCGCACTTTGCCGGGCAGTGGTGCAGCCACAGCTCCTGCAGGCGGCTCATCTGCGAGATCTTGGCGGGCAGCTTCACATCCGGGATGAGCTCGAGCTGCGAGGGACGAGAAGAGGTCACGAACACGCGCGGTGTGCCGCTGGTGACGATGAGCAATCGTTGCAAACGTTATTTGTGACGCGTGAAGAATATCCGTGAAAATGAACAAAGGAGTTGGTCGACACAATCGCGATGCCTTTTGCTGCTGATCTCGTCAAGGACCATAAACCATCGCGCAAACTCCGCTCATCCTCGCAGCAGCGGCGTTTAACTAACCACCGATCAAAGACGGTTACCGCATCGCGTGCTTTCGTATGCGCCTCTGCGGCCATCTCGAACGCTCTTCCTTCCGATATTAGGAAGACACTGGAGCTATGCACTTTTCAATTAAAATCGAATTTCTTTAGAACTGCTTTTTTGTGTTTAGTTAGTTCTTCCCGCGCATCTCCGATTATCATGGTTGGCTACGTATGGTGCGAAGGAAGTTCAACAGACGGTGCGCGCGTGTTAAAAGCATGCACCGGGCATGCCTTTTCCCTCTTGTTCAGCCAACACACCACGCATTCATTATCGCCACTTCTCTGCAGCTGCCCCTTTTATCTGCAACTCACTCCCTCCTAATGTTCCAAGTCCGGTTTCACCAGTTCCCTCTTCTTGCTCGACTACGGCTCACTCCGTTTTACCTCTTTAGCTCAGAGCCCTCAACCACCTCCTAAAATCATTTTTTTTAATCCTCTCCCCACCCAGGCCCCCCACTCTGAGTTGTAAACCATCTCGAGACTCGCTGATTTCGATGTTTTGTAAATTCGAACGAGGATTTCAAAGTATATAATGTAACAATACAAAACACAGAAGTTCAAAGTATGGATGGCATTCCATCATTCGTGAATAAATGAGTTAAACACCGGCCGTGTCACTGCATTTGCAGTTGGTGCTTTAGTGACATTCAAATTATAGAGCGACTAAAACTTTTTTGTTATCAACGTTTTTAGTGCTTTAAACAAAAATTGGCTTCAAGCCACTTTCACCATTCCAGGACCACGTGGTCAAGGATTTTAAACAAGCCCTGGAAAAAGCGAAGAATATGGCCCCTGAGTAGCAGATTTTACCTAATGCTCTCCCACAGACAATGAGCAAATGGCCCGAAAGTTTCCTAAGTACCCTCAAGGCGAGACAGGCAGCGGCCTGCCTTTAATGAGACGACATGAAGCCGGTTAAAGCCGTGTGTATGCATACGGATTAGGCTGTGCTTCCTGGAGGCACAGTTGGGAGTACACAGCTGGTGCATCTACCAGTCATCTCAGTCAGCCAACCTGTGGCACCGTCACTTAGTGGCGAACAGAAGTTGTTGTTGTTGGTTGTGCTTTTGACAGGCTCCAGCCGATATTTACCCAAATCTGGCAAATTCACAACCAATACTTTATACGTAGATTTTTTTTTCCCCTGATGCTCTTCTCGAGTTTCAAATCACGTAGCCGACTCCAAGACATTACCTTTGAGGTTTCATTAAAAAAAATGAGAATAAGGAATTATAAAACTATAAACAATTTTTTTTTATTTTACCAGGGAAGGTCCACTTGAGCTACATAGTTCTTTTTCAGAAACGATCTGGCAACCGATGATAATTCTAGATTTGAAGCTTTCGTGACTGCAAGGATTCATACTCTTTGGTTTTATTAGGTAAAGTCACGTAGGTAAAATAAAATAAAATCACGACGTTTCGGAGGCAACACAAGCTTCCGTCTTCAGGTGGAAGTCACAGCAGAATATCTGTGTCAAGTGCACAGCTCTGAGACGATCGGGTTTATATATAGGTTAAGGGGGAGGGAGGAGGAGCCAGAAAGATAACTCAATGAAGTGGCTTATCATGTGGAAATTTACAGCAATAGCCAAATACTCTAAATGCATGTTTCTAAACATGTGTTGAGCGTGTATTCATATTCACATTGGTTTCATTGAGTGTGTCCATGGTTTTATTTCCATGGGGGGCCAATGCATAGTATCTATGATGATGAAAAATATGAATGCTTTATTTACCTTTTCTGGCAATGAAACAGGTGTTAAGATTTTCAAACACCAAATAGACACCTACTGTAGGGCATCACGCCTGCATTAATAACACGGGCTTGTGGAAAAAACATGTAAAAACATCATTTAATAATAATAATAAATGCATTGTCCTCGCAAATGAATGGACTGCACAAGAGACAGACTTATATATGGCCGAGTTTCACGACCCGTGTCAGACGAGAGAACAACGCCAAAAGGCAAATAGTGCAAAGTGAATGCAAGTTACGGAACACATATCGCTAAGGTCGAGCAGTTAAATGTATGGGATACCTTTTGGCCAGTATCGACAGAACCTTCCCATGCAGAGGGCCAGTTTCTCGATAAGAGATTGGTTTTTTTTCGTGACCGAGGATGCCTATAACGCCACGTGTTGAAAAACTAAAATACATGCAGTCTTTTGTTATCTTACAGCGAGGGAAAAAAGCATTTGATCCCCTGCTGCTTTTGTACGTTTGCCCAATGACAAAGAAATTATCAGTCTATAAATTTAATGGTAGGTTTATTTGAACAGTGAGAGACAGAATAATGAGAAAATCCAGAAAAAAAGCATGTCAAAAATGTTATAAATTGATTTGCATTTTAATGAGGGAAATAAGTATTTGACCCCCTCTCAATCAGAAAGATTTCTGGCTCCCAGGTGTCTTTTATACAGGTAACGAGCTGAGATTAGGAGCAGACTCTTAAAGGGAGTGCTCCTAATCTCAGCTTGTTACCTGTATAAAAGACACCTGTTCACAGAAGCAATCAATCAGATTCTAAACTCTCCACCATGGCCAAGACCAAAGAACTCTCCAAGGATGTCAGGGACAAGATTATACACCTACACAAGGCGGGAATGTGCTACAAGATTATTGCCAAGCAGCTTGGTGAGAAGGTGACAACAGTTGGTGCGATTATTCGCAAATGGAAGAAACACAAAAGAACTGTCAATCTACCTCGGCCTGGGGCTCCATGCAAGATCTCACCTCGTGGAGTTGCAATTATCATGAGAACGGTGAGGAATCAGCCCAGAACTACACGGGAAGATTTTGTCAATGATCTCAAGGCAGCTGGGACCATAGTCACAAAGAAAACAATTGCTAACACACTACGCCGTGAAGGACTGAAATCCTGCAGCGCCCGGAAGGTCCCCCCTGCTCAAGAAAGCACATATACATGCCCGTCTGAAGTTTGCCAATGAACATCTGAATGATTCAGAGGACAACTGGGTGAAAGTGTTGCGGTCAGATGAGACCAAAATGGACTCTTTGGCATCAACTCAACTCGCCGTGTTTGGAGGAGGAGGAATGCTGCCTATGACCCCAAGAACACCATCCCCACCGTCAAACATGGAGGTGGAAACAGTATGCTTTGGGGGTGTTTTTCTGCTAAGGGGACAGGACAACTTCACCGCATCAAAAGGACGATGGACGGGGCCATGTACGGTCAAATCTTGGGTGAGAACCTCCTTCCCTCAGCCAGGGCATTGAAAATGGGTCGCGGATGGGTATTCCAGCATGACAATGACCCAAAACACACGGCCAAGGCAACAAAGAAGTGGCTCAAGAAGAAGCACATTAAGGTCCTGGAGTGGCCTAGCCAGTCTCCAGACCTTAATCCCATAGAAAATCTGTGAAGGGAGCTGAAGGTTCGAGTTGCCAAACATCAGCCTCGAAACCTTAATGACTTGGAGAAGATCTGCAAAGAGGAGTGGGACAAAATCCCTCCTGAGATGTGTGCAAACCTGGTGGCCAACTACAAGAAACGTCTGACCTCTGTGATTGCCAACAAGGGTTTTGCCACCAAGTACAAAGTCATGCTTTGCAGAGGGGTCAAATACTTATTTCCCTCATTAAAATGCAAATAAATTTATAACATTTTTGACATGCGTTTTTCTGGATTTTGTTGTTATTCTGTCTCTCACTGTTCAAATAAACCTACCATTAAAATTATAGACTGATCATTTCTTTGTCAGTGGGCAAACGTATAAAATCAGCAGGGGATCAAATACTTTTTTTCCCCTCACTGTACATGCAAGTATGAGGGACACGCTAAACATAACACTGCCGTTTTTGTCTAAGTTTGTCATAAAAATTTTCACGTGTGCGTGTTTCTGAATCGCTGCAAAACTGAACGTACGTTTATCGCCAATACACCCCAGACATTAAAAGGCAGAAGGCCTCTTCCCCTCCCCCACCCCCCAGCACAGTGCCAGACAACGCACAAGCCCGTGGGCAACTGAAGCCATACCACAGTTTGGGTAGACTGTGTTGCCTCGTCCACTGTATAGTCCTGATCTGGCACTCCCTGATCTGCAGCCCTTATTAGAATGTCATGATGCTCTTTGCAAAATGGTCACACGTGACGCTCAGGAATCCCTCCGAGATGGAAAGGTGGGCCCTGGCTGGGCATAATGTGTGCCGCTGCATATAGCACGATGGTGATTAAGCTGGACGTAGACAAATGTTCAAGATATTCCTGCGCATCAACATCTACTTTTTGGGACATCCTTTGTGTATTCCGCAGAATAAGCGGCAGTGAGATCGCACTCTGAGTGGGACTGGATGCCTCGCCCTGCACAGCAGCAGGCGAAAGCAGAGTGATGGGCCAGTTATCGCTGTGCGTGAAACACACACGCACAGATAATGACTCAAGTACCAGCTGCAGGCCACCATTTGACAGACATGTGCTGGAGGCCCAAAGGAGACACAGAAGCCTTTATCTCTCTTCTGTCCAAACCACATTCGGTCGAGCTGAGTGACCGAAATCCTCGCGCCTGTGACAGCTACCCAGAATATAAAAGGCAATTGCTACAGCTGGCTATTTGGAACACAGACACTCTGGATGTCAGTGGCGACCATTGTTCTGTCAAAATGCAGACGAGCACCATGTACGTATGTATGTTGAACTTCTTCCCACAATAATGCATACGGCGTGAAAACATGGTAGCTAGGTCGTATGTTCCAGAGTTGTGCGTTTACCTGTCTAGCAACAGACACTATAAAATG